GTATATGACGTCTATATTGTAGGTACTTATATAATCTAGATCATATTATATATATATATATATCTATATATATCTGTATATATATATATATATGTATATATCTGATATAAATAGATATTGTAATTATAATAATAGAGATATATATATATATATAATATATATATAGATATGTAAATATGGATGTAATGTCCGTATATATACGTATATATCGTATTATCCGGAATCTACGATATATAAGTATATATATATATATATAATATATATATATATATAAATAAATAAATATATATATACAGATGATATAGATACATATATAATCTACATATATATACATAGAGATATATATATATATATATATAATATATATATATGTAATATATAGAGTATATATATATATATATGGATATATATATATATATATATATGTATGTATATTATGTATGTATTCTGTATGTATATATATGTATTTAGATGTATATATAGGTATATTATATGTATAGAGATGACTATATATATAGATCTATATATATATATATATTATATATAGATATATATGTTATAGAGATAGATATACTGTAGAGATAGGTATATATCATATATATAGGTATTGATCTATATATGTATGTATATATATATCAGATAAGAGATATATATATATATATAGATATTATCATATAGTATATATACGTTATATACTGAGATATACGTATAAGATACGTATATTACGATAGATACGTATAGAATATATAGATATATTAGATATATATATAGGAGATATAGAAATAAATACATATATATAATACAATATTAGATATACATATAATATAGACATATATAGACATAATATATATAGATATATGCTACTAATATATATATATATATATAATATATATATTAGATAGATATAATGTCGGTAAAGATATACATATACTACATATATATACACATCTATAATATAGATATATATATATATATATATATATAATATATATATCTAATTATATATACAGCTATAGATATATAGATATATACATCTAGACATCTATAATATATATATTTTTTAAATATATATATATACAATAAATACAGAGATATAACTATAATATATTATAATGATAAACTGTGCTAGAAATCTAAGGTCATGTAGCACTATAGTTAATGTAGGGAAAGGTGGTGAGTTAGTTGATTAGTTGTCTAAGCTGGGGCAAAAAAAAAAAAAGGAAATGGTGTGATGTCAAAGGGTTAAGTGGGTGTTAGATTAAAATAAAGATATGATGCGCGTGAGGAAAGGAGAAACAGGTTGTGGATGCAGAAGTGTGGTGATTCTGTAAGGATGTCTAAATAGGTGGGAGGTAGAGTGAAGGGAGATAGGGGGGAAAGCAGAGGTACGGGATGCTTAAAACGTGGATTCACGACAATAGGGCTGTGTACGATTGACTCGGGGAACATTACATAAGGAAACATATGGGTGGATAAGATTGTGAAATCAGATAGGAGGGTGTTAGACGGTGTGGCCAATGCGTAACGGGGCGAGAGCGAGTCCTCAAGTCGGTTCCGAGAAATGGAGTGACCAGGAGGAGATTGATGTTTTCAGAATGGACTTTATTAGTGTGAGGCTGAC